GGAGGGACGGAGGAACGGAGGGACGGAGGAACGGAGGGACGGAGGAACGGAGGGAGGGATGGGTAAGAAATCCTATGATGCAGCTTTGGCCTTGCCTCGGTTGCACACACGTGGAGGAGCCCCCTTATGCGCCAGTCATGAATCGGCCTGAATGCTGATTCGGATGAGTTTACAGGCATGCATGGGCGTGCAGTGCAGTCCCCAAAAAATAACAACTGATGGTCAAGGGAAACATCGACTGAAATTCATTGCCCCTGTTCCCATGCATACCCATGCCCCATACCCAAGATTCGAAAAAGCAGTGAAGCAAAGCATCTCGATGTACCAATAAACATGTGAAGAACTGGGCCCTCCAGTCTTCTTGCTCAGTTTTTGCAGCCGGTTCAACAACTCTCCCATCACGTGCAACAAAGTCTCGTTGGGTCAGCAAAGTTTGCCAAGCACTCGTGCTCCAACGGTAGATCTGAGATCTCCCCTGCTGGCAAGTTGTTCATCGCCTCCACGAAAGAGCGTGCATAGACCACAGCAGTGGCCTCAACTGTGTTGACCGGACGATTGCTCCCCACCGATCTGTTTCATGTCAGAGATGAAAAGGCCTCCAAGCTTAAGGGTCTTGACACCGTCAAGTGCCAACCAATTAAGAGATGCCTCTCTTGGCCCTGGAGGCCAAAAGCGAGAAATGCAGCTCCGGTCAGCCCAAGAACTCACCGGTCTGGTGTTTCTTGAAGAAAATGGAGGCCAACTCCCCTTTCTCAAGAAATACCGTGGATCTCAGCTGCGCGCGTGGCATGGAACCCAAGTTTCATACCCTAGTATGGCAGTTGCTTTTGTCTTCTTTCACACCTTTGATTGATTCCGTCTGCCACCGACTGGACGGCACACGCGGTTTCTTGTGGTGATCTGTTCTCCTTCGGTTCCAAAGTGGGGTTCCGGATGTGTGAAGATTGCACCCATCAATCTTCAGTTGCCCTTTTCTATCCGAACATTTATTTTTAAAAAATGCATTTTGGTCCGCGATCGCCTCTGCCCGGGTTACCCACCCAGTCACCAAGGAGTCTGCGTGGTCCTGCAGCACCAGGAATACTTCCTCAAAAACCATTGACATGATCAATTTGAGCGACGATGTTATCTACATAGGCAAGCTCACCCACACAAGCTCACACGCACGCCCAAAAGCTAACAAAAAAAAACAAGTGTTTGTTTGGCTTTCGGATATCCATCTAAGCACTCCAAATCGTGGGGAGGTCAATCAATCTGGCACCCACTCAAGCGCTTCACCTTGAAAAAGCGCTTCACCTGACCTATCGGATCGGTGGCTTCCGATCAAAAATGGACCGAACAATTACAGTATACTACTACACTACACACACAACTACCAGCACCTCCAACAGGTCACCAATTGAAACCTGTTAGGGCCTAACAAACCTCCATTTCGGAGGTGCAATCTGTGCTGTTTTGGCCGAGGCGTCGTTCGTGGGCAGATGCAGTGCCCGACTTTCGACCGAGGCTTCCAGTCTTCCCTGGTGCTTCCTTGGGTTGGACCAGGCGCGGTCCGTCCGCGGTCTTCGGTGCGTCGGTCTGTGTGGCGTCTGGTGGGTCTCCAGAAGTGGAAAACCCTCACCAACGGAGGCCAAAACGGAGGCACCTGTGTTGCCCAACAAGCCGTGCACCAAACATGGCAGCTGCACCCTACAAGTAGTAGGGACCTTCTGGGCGAAAGCTTCGGACCTGGATGGTGCTCCCCAAAACACACACAGCGATGATTCCGGTGTCAATGTCCGTTTCCGCTTCCTGATGGATTCGCCTCCCCCGAGTTGTCCACCATCACCCGCCCAAGTTGATCAATGATGGCCCCAACAAATTGGAACACGATGTTCACCGCGACGAAGCCAAAAAAAAAGAAAAGTGCCAATGTTTTTAGAGAACAAGCACCACCCTGACTCATGCGGTGCCCCATGTTTTGTCATGCCCAGCGTCCACCCTCGGATCCACAAAGATTGCTCACTGCAGTAATCCTCCGCGGAGATTTCCATGTGATGCCGCGAGTCAGCGCGAAACGTGCTCTTCCTGCCTGGCAGAAGCTGGCTCAGCTAGCTGCGAGCTGCGGGGTGCGTGAGAGACTGATGCCAGGAGTGGGGCCTTTGCTTCGGACGAACGCGTTTGAATCGAACCATTCGTCCCGAACGTCACCAAGAACTGGTCAAACGAGTATGGATAACTTGAATGTCAGTTTGTGTACATACAGGCCTCCAAATAGATAGAACAGTAAATCCCCACTAAAAATAAAAGTGTTTTGGAAACAATTTATATCTATTTGGGGACCACTATGCAACATATAGTTATGTGCAGTTTACATTTATCAGCTGGCTTTTCAGCGTCGGCTGATCTTTGGCGCTGGTGGTCTTTCAAGAGCGTCATCATGCAATGATACAACAATCCATCCCGGCCACTCTGAAATACTCAGCTCTTTTCACGAATTGGATGGTTTTTCTTTCGCGTTGGAAGTTCTTCCCCTGGTGTTCTTCCTTTTTCCTTCGCTCCCCCCCGGGCCTTCGCTCTTCTCGGTGCTCTGACCTTCTAAGGAGCCCACCCCGAAGACACCGAGGAAACTCATGGTGCCGTGCTTGTTCTTGGTCCGCTCGTGCGGCGTGGCGACCTGAGGCTGGTAGAACTCGGAGCCCGGAAAATAGTGCGCCGCCCCAGAGGCCATGAGGTAAATGCCTTGACCCTTCTGATTGCTGTAGAAAAGCATGTCGTTCTCCAAGAGGTACAATTCACGGACAGCATGGTTGCAAAGGTTCAACTCCATGGTGGTATCGGCAGCGCCGATCTCCAGGAAAAAGGGATGGCAAGCCAAAGTAATGGAGCGAGCCTCATGAAAAAGCTCCTTTACCAGACCTTCGGGCAAAGAGAGCAAGAACTGCATGTGGTCTTGGATGCTATCCCGGCAATGCTCACGTTCCACCAGCCGGCGGATCTTCATCGTATGCATGGCAGAGACGCCACAGGTTCCACAATACCTTCGCACCGACTCCATGATCTGCGTCATCTTCCGGGTTCGGCGAGCGACATCTGCCATCAGGTTGGTCAACACACTGACAAACAAGGAGGAGATGATCAAGGCGATGCCTGTGGCAATAATGGCCAGCCAGCGTTCAAAGGCAGTGTTGAGTTCCACATTGAACTTTAAAGACGAAGCAGGCAACCGGGACACGGCCCACTCCACGCTTCTCACATATTGTTGCCCGATGGTTTGTTCATGGAGGCCTTCCAACACCACCCAGCCACCTTCCACATCCCCAGCCAGGAACCACAGGCTGGCCAGGAAATGCACCGCAAACATCAGGCCCAACGTCAGCATCAGGATGGGCATCAAAGTGGAGGAGACCCAACCCTGGAAGAACAGCCGGAATTGCCGATAGCAGCTCCTCGGTGAGAGGAGAGCTGAACCCACTGAAGCAGAGGTGTTTAAACTTGTGGCCCTCCTGCAGGTGCTTTTCCCATGACATGTTCATGGAAACGTCATGGGGATCTGAAGAAACTCAGTTAGAGTATTTAGTTACAGTACACATACACACACAGAGATATGTATATATATGTATATATATATATTTGTATGTGTGTGTGTGTGTCATATCGTAAACAATGTGGGTGTGGGTGTGTGTGTGTGTGTGTCACCCCCTGTGCCGAAGGGTTCGCCACCACATTCACCTTCACCACTGTTTCACAAGCAGGGGCGTCAGGCTCGATACACCTACCTGACGCAATGAAGCTCTGGTGTATCGAGGGATGGGTGGACTGATCATCCACCTGTACCTGCTTCAACGTTTGAGCAAGCTGTTCCAATCCTCCTTTTTTGATTCCATGGTGGTTCATGATACTCCCCCACAAACAGGTTTCTCTCAGCAGCCGTCCGCAGACTTGCACCGCTTTGCAGCCGCGTCTTTTGAGTGCGATTGGAAACCATGTTCAACCATACTGTTTCAGCTGACTTTTCCACCTTGCGGTTTTTCGCCTTTCTTCCCATCGGGAAATTGAGTGTAACTGAAAACCAATGTCAGAGTGTGTTTCGCTCAGCCGTCCCACTCGGGTGCTGAGTGTGATCCCCGTCACTGGGGCGCTGTTTCATTGGGTAATCATTAACTGAACTCACTACCGCTCACCGGAATTTCACTGGAATTCACCTCCACTTCCACCGACTTAACTGCCACAACGGCCGCCGGGCCTAAACACGGGACCTGCCAGTTCGCAGAGTTTGCACATTCTTCTGCATGGTCTTGCATGATTTTGCGAATGTTTTCCTCAAGCAGAGCGATTTGACTTTTTCAGCAGTTTAATTCGATTTGCATGAACACACTACAACACCACATACACCTTTCCACCTTCAAGCGCTGAAGCTGCTGCCACTGAGCTAGTGAAGCTCTATGTCCAAAAAGGACACAACCCAATTGCTTGCAGCCGGTTTTTGAAAGGAAAAAGCGCCGATTACGGCGATCTGTGTGTGTCACCCCCTGTGCCGAAGGGTTCGCCACCACATTCACCTTCACCACTGTTTCACAAGCAGGGGCGTCAGGCTCGATACACCTACCTGACGCAATGAAGCTCTGGTGTATCGAGGGATGGGTGGACTGATCATCCACCTGTACCTGCTTCAACGTTTGAGCAAGCTGTTCCAATCTTCCTTTTTTTGATTCCATGGTGGTTCATGATACTCCCCCACAAACAGGTTTCTCTCAGCAGCCGTCCGCAGACTTGCACCGCTTTGCAGCCGCGTCTTTTGAGTGCGATTGGAAACCATGTTCAACCATACTGTTTCAGCTGACTTTTCCACCTTGCGGTTTTTCGCCTTTCTTCCCATCGGGAAATTGAGTGTAACTGAAAACCAATGTCAGAGTGTGTGGATGGGTGGGTGGGTGCAGATTGCTCCAACCACTGGGTTTGGCAAGTGTCCTTCTTCCAGGGGGATCATTCCAGACTGGGAGGTCACTTATATGTATATATATATGCATTATATATCTAAAAAACAGCCATGTACGATTATTACATTCTCCGATTTGACCCACGTGCGCACCGGTCAGGACAAAAACCTCCGACGAACACCGCCACGCCACGAGTGGACCGTCCCAATTCTACCAGGACCATCTGAGAGGTGTCACACCGACCTGCCGTTTTCTCTTTTGCAACCCTAACGGATGCAGTTTCGCCCAAATGTGAAGACGAAAAACAACACACCTACAAAATGCCGAGAAAAACCAGAGAGCATGGGAACATTGAAGAACCCCCCTGCAATCTTCAGGCGGTGTCAATTTCCTGCCAAGCCATTCCAGCTCAAAAACTGACCACCAATTCATGATCTGCCAATTCCAGGACCTGCCCCAACTCCTCATGTGGCCATGGGTCAAAGCGGGGGATGCAGGTCAACCGGCTCAACCGGTGCCACCTGCCACCTGCACCCTCAAAACAGCTTTACCAGACCCCGGGGACCGAGACCTCACATGCAACTCCAACCTCCCAAGCGGCAGCTTCTTGATCACCGTCATGGACTTCCGAAAGCGCAGGATCCGCACGAAGCGCGCGACCCGCACCAGGCGCCGGGCGCGCAAGGCACGCAGGATCCCCGAGGCGGAGCCCTCCTGCGGTGGTCGTTTTGGTCGGATGCCAAAAATGGGTGTTTTTGGGCGGAAGGAGAGTGAACCATTCGATTTGTTGGAGGGGTTGTTAAGTGGGAATCCGTCCCTGACTCCCTCTCATTCACAACTCAGGGAGCCTTCAACTCAACGAAAAAAAACATGCTGGCCCACGACATGAGAGTGGTGAGGATTCACGTCTTGGATGTGCTTCAGGAACTGGGTAGAAGGGATCCGAAGGGATGGGCCGATAGGGAAAATATGGGAAAATAACCGAAAAAACCAGGGAGTACACCTTGACACTTGGGGGTCCCAACATCCCGACTACATCTCTCTAGGTCGAGCAGGCCGAGAAAACGCACCGAAATCGCCAGGCTCCTCTGCATCGCCAGGCTCCAGTAAGCCATTCACAATCACCAAAGCTTCAGGTGCTAACATGAGCCTTGGATCTCGTTCACATGACGTACCATGACCGAGGTCCGTTATGGTCCAAGCACATAGGTCACGTATGGTCACGTAATTGGGCGTGTGTCAGACAGAACTGAGTATCCCAAACTACAAGATGATCAAAATGAATCAAGGTGATTGAAGCGTCCCATTCTTTTCTTGGGGTCGGGATGCCGAGTTGAGCCAAAAACCACAGCCATGTGACCTGGAACTGATGTCCCTGTGCCCCCTCCCTGGGACGGGCACCAAGGCGCACCGGTGTGACATCATTCCATCCGGGAAAAGGCGCGTCGTTGGGTCACAGGAGTTGGCTACTATTGGGGACTGTTGGGGAAGATGCTTGCTCCATACAAGAAAAAGATCTGTCCAAGGTCCCAGCCCGTCTTCCCAAAAAAAACTCGCTGCAGTCACGACCATCCGAGATCGCAGCTTGGGGGCATATCAAACCAAAACCAGGATTTGAGATATGCACGGGCCACGTCCGCCAGTTTCGTGTGCAAAATGTCATTGATGTAGACGCCGGTGAAGAAGGAGGCCGGAACATCTAGCAACCAGTAGCAGGTAGTCACCCAATGAAGCACATCCGACACACCTGCCACAAAAGAGGCGTGTCACGGAAGGGGTTTGTGGCTTTTGGAGAGCTAAATTCAGTGACTTTTGATGGGAACTGAGAGGCCTTGCTGGAACCTCCAGCCTGGCAAGCCAAAACATGAGAATCACCCGACAACAGGAGCTCTTTTGGTTGGAGTCCTTGTTTTGGGAAGCAAATTGCTTGAACGTTTTTGGATTCCCTGTTTTGGAGCCCTCTCATGAGCCATTTAACCCCACCAGAGCGAATCCGGGGCCGCGCGCCTCGGAAGCCTTCGCTGATGTCGTAGACTTGCAGAGGAGCGGTGAGAATCTCAACGAGTAGCACTACCATGGCCAAGCAATCCCAAATCATCCTGGGGTAAACGAACTCTCCGAGCTTAAGCTGGGGGAGAAGCTGGGGGAGAAGCGAGAAGCTGGGAGAAGCGACGCCAACTGCCAGTCAGCCAACTGCCCTCTTCTCTCAAGAGACCAGGCCCTTTCTAGGTGGATCGCTTTGAGAATATCTTGAGACGAAGACCGTCTGTGTGTGTGGCGATCTTGATCAAAAACAACCCGCCCACAAGGTAGTTGCGGGATGGGTGCTTGTGTGGTCAAGAGAAGATTGAAAGTGACTGAAGATCATCATGGTGTCCAAGTGGTGGCCCAGCAGACGACCATCGCAGTGACCGACCAACCAAGGGCATCCACGTTCCCGGAACTAATCATGGAAGTGGAAATCACCACCTGCAAGCGTAGCGGTTTCCAAGGGGAAAATCCAAGGATAAACATCCACGTCACGTTCTGGTTCTTTCAGTGATTTTGGACGTTTGAAGAGTCTAGATTCCCCACGTGACCCACGGTGTGGACGGAGACCCCACCAGACCGCTCCGCAGCACCGCGCTCCGCGGCAGCTCTCCTGATGGGCGCCTCTGGGCGGATGGCCCAACCGGGAACCCTTTCCGTCTGACAGCGGTACTTCTTGCCACCACCCGTGTCCTGGGCGTTTTTTTCGCGCGGTCTGAGCGGGTCGCTGGGGTGGGTTTGAGAACTGCCCAGGCTGAAGGCGGTCAACTCCAAGGTCCACAGGGTGGAACTGCAGTGCCCACTATGGCCATAGCTGGAATTTCAAGTGCTGGCAGCCCAGTTGGTAGTTCAAATAAGTCGTTTCTTTCCTTCATCAGTCAGCTGTGCAAGAACCCAAAGATCCTGAATTAGTCAGGTAGGAGGAAACAAGAAAAGTACAAATATACGCAAATATCAAATACCCCTCACCGATCGATTCCGGCAGGTCCAGGATTGCGCAGAAGGATTTCCGACAAATGGTCACATGAAATTCCCTGGGCACGACGGTGTCTTGCAAAATATTCACCATGTCTTGCAACCTATTTAGGCGGATGACACAAGCCCACCGGCCATGACCAACTTAGATGGGGATCAAGAACCAAAGGTTTTTCCAAGTTGTTGTTCCACCCCTAAACAGAAGGGCTGCAAGAGGCGCATTTTAACGCGCAGGGCCGCTGGCTTGGAATTTGCCGGGTCTTTCTCTCCAGCTCGGTGCAGTCAGGCCTCGCCCGTCGCCAAGCGTGGAGAAGTCACCGCGTTGTTCTTCTGCAACTCTTGGAGGTCTTCGTCGCGCATGGCCCACATCTGCCCAATTTGGAAGGAAACATCCTGAGGTCTTCAGCGGTGAAGGAAAAGGAGAAACTATCCCGGCAAGAGGCTCCAACCAGCGCTTGTAGGTCTAGAGGTCTAAGGTCTAGAGGTGTAGAAGCAGAAAGGTGTAGAGATGCACGCGTGCTGGGCTCCAGAGTTCTAGAAGTCTAGAGGCCCAGAGGCCCAGTGGAGATAGAGGTCTAGAAAGATCGAATCAGAAACGCCCACACGAAGGCCTAGTAGTAGCGTTCTAGAGGTGGGCTCTAGGTATGAGATCCAAAGGTCTGGAGCTCAAGAGGCCCTGAGGTCTTGAGCAGAAAGATGTATAAGTCTAGATCTGAGGTCTTGGACCTCTAGACCTAGGGGGCTAGAACCTAGAGGTCTGTCCATGAGATCCAGGTCGTGAGATTCAGAGAGATCTCTAGACTTCTATATATATATATATATATAGTGGTCTGGAACGATGCAAAGGCCGAGGTCTAGAGCTCAGAGGGTAAAAGTCTTGGACCCAGAGAGTTCCAGAAATATCAAGAGTGATCTGGAGACCTAGGGGCCTGGAAGGCACACACATGAGAGCACACATATGGGAGCACGCCACGAAATCTGCACTTCTGGGCTGACTTTGGACCACCAAAACACAAGGCTTTCCTTGTGCCTGCCACGCAAAGTGACCACCAAGTCCGAAAAGGTGCACGGCACCACAACGAGAGCGCAGTCGAGGAAAGCACCCGCTCGCGCACAGCAGATCCTGCAAGCCTGCGCCGTCGAATGAAGAAGCCATAAATAGCAGCGAATTTGCCGGACACGGATGCGAGCACCTCCGATCATACACCCGACCTTAACATCAACGTAAGAACCCCTAGTGTGACCACACTGCTCTGGGGAATAAAAGGAAAGCGGGTAAGCCGTTGACGTGAACCACCCGAAACTGGGGTATGATGCTATCCCCAAACCACTTTTGGGGCCAGCGTCGAGAAAGTCAGCTTCAAGAAACATCATGCCTCTGGATGCCTAGCTAGGCCAGCCCGTGGCCTCTTAAAACAACTACATAGATATGATTAAATACAGTGACAGTTACAGCCCCCCCCCTGCAAAAGAAAAACGGAGGACCCCAACGTGCTCAAAATGATTTGGCAACTGGCCTCAACTATCTATCTTATCTATCTATCTATCTGTCTATCTATCTATCTATCTATCTATCTGATCTGATCTGATCTAATCTAATCTAATCTAATCTAATCTAATCTAACCAACCTAAGCTAAGCTAAGCTAAGCTAACTATCTATCTATCTATCTATATACCTACCTACCTACCTACCTACCCTCACACTCCAATATCTTTACCCTGGGATGTTTGTTTTAAAGGGGTCAACCCATAGGAAAGGATTTTGAATACCTTAAGTCAAAAGGTTCCCATTTCACTTCAGATTTCCAGCCAGCCTATCACAAAATAGGCGGGTAGACAACCCCAAGAAGATAAACAAAAGGTAGATATAGTTACATTACACTAGAGAACAGGGCAAAGCAAAACAGGGAATTGTTTCAAAAGAGCCAATGCTGCAAAGGAAATACTTCTAGGACCTGAAGCAAAACAGCATCCATGTTCTTTCAGTGTTCCAGCCAAACTATCCTAACAGAGGGGCAGGTAGACCATCACAAGAAAACAAGCAAATGTCAAAAGTTGTATCAAAGAAAAGGCCCTTGCAAGGAAGGCACAAGGGAATCCAAGAAAAAAAAGGTGAATCCATGCACATCGATAACAAAAATCAGCAGGTGGCCAACCACAATTCCATTGAATTGGTGGGAGTCCAACCTCACACGCTCGTTCATACGCACACGTATCTCGCCAATCCTTGCCACCTACAAAATCTACAAATTATGCTCGTCCAACCGTGCAAGCTGGAATGCTCACAGTGTTCATCGAACTAAAATAGTGATCTTCTTTATAACTGGTGCAACGGGTCCTACAACATCTTACGACCCAAAACCGAGTGCGCCTTGGGCCCTTGATGTCCTTCATGTCCTAACACCCTTAAACACGGACTTGTGAGGCCTGGCCGGTTGCCCAAGCAAATGGTCAGCCTCCGCTTGACGTCGTTTTCACATTGCGCCGCACATTCCACGCCCGTTGGAACCCCGTTGGCACGAAGCCATGGAAAGGAGGGTCAACCCTGGAACGCGCTTTTGGTTTCCCACCACCGCGCGATGAGGAGACTCTTCCAATACGATTGATCAGTAATGGTTCCGAAGAACATGGAAATGAGAACCTTCAACTGAGGACTGTATGAGACATAAGTCTCGACCCAAAATTTCTCAGCTTGAAACATTAAGACCCGTTAAGACCAACAGCATCAACACCCAACTGCCTCCAACATTGGCACACACCCCTCTGAACCCTCAAGCAACACTATTTCTAGCCAGTGCTTACGGAACTCCCTGTAGCTCCTTCGCCCCCTGTTGACTAAGAGAAGACTTGGCAAGACTTCCCTCTGGCTCCTGGTCACTGAAAAAAACCATATACAGGCCCCTGCGAGACGCGACACGAGACGCCACACCTGCGAGACGAGACCGACGGAGACGGTCCAGCCGCTCGGAGGCGAAGAGAACACGCTTCCGGGTCCGAGGCACTGAGCTCTGCAACAACTGCTCCAGGTTGGTGGTCTTCTGCCGCGCGCTTTGCACCAAGCTCCTTGAGAGCCGCCGCTCCACCGAGGTCTGCCGATCCAGGCTGCCGCGCCCCTCCAGTGGGGACTCCGAGGGATTGGGATATTCGGCCAGGCTCACGGTGAGCTGATTCGAAGAGGCCTGGAGGGGGTTTGCGGTCTGAAGTCGACGACGTCGGTCCAGAGTCGACGACGTCGGGGTCGGGTGACACTGAGAAAACACCAACACAGAAAGCAAATGTGAACTCTCAAGGAATATGCTCATCAACAAACAACATGCAATTGTAGGCGCAACATCTTTAAACAAAAAAGCCGTGATACACACACACACACTATGCTTCAAAATGGCTACGAAGAGTCACAGAATATGCGGCTCCCAAGCGGCTCCCAAATGTTTCCAACACCTGCCAACACACCAATCGACGGGCATGTCTTGAATTTCGTCCCACAAGGTTGGTCAAACCCCGCCGCCGAGCTGGACTTGTGCTTCCCCTTTTTGCTCGTCCAAGTCTTCTGCAACCTCAGTCCACATGTTCGAAGTGGCACCGCTCCACACGCAGGTGGGAAGTTGGGGAGGTTTGTTTGATCTAGGGGTATTGAGGGTTACGTGTTTGGAGCTACGGCTCTCACCAAGTGCTTCATGCAGTAAACCTCCAAACTGCTTAGGATTTTCGCTGCAACGTTTCTGCTGGACCTGTCCCGTCACCCGTTTCTGCCAGCCCAGTCACGCAGGCGCTAGCTTTGTCCGTGCATCCGTCGTCTGATTCGTCTGTGCGTCCGTTTCATAGATCTGGAGCAAGCGCTCTTGCAAGACCTGACAAGTCAAAGACTGAGATGGAGATGTGGCTGGGCGCTCCTGAGGATCAAATGATTGAAAATGCGGATGGTTTCGGGGGGGCACAAAAACATCCTTTCAAGGCAGAACATGTCTGTCAAACTTCAGAACAAGCTAGCTGGGAATGGGAGGCCCAGGGAAGTGATCATCAGGTGATCCTTGCTATCTTGAGATCGATCTGACTCGTCGAACCCACCACCTAAACCTAAACATCCACCGCACATAAGACCCCAGAAGGGATGATGTTTCAAAAAAGTGGGTGTCTAACTTGCAGTAATTACAAATCACTGACCGGCATCTTTTCTACCCAAATTTTCCCTGCCCCACCTGGATTTGCCCGAGGATGTCGTGGAAGTTGCACCCCGACGAGGCAATGGAGCTCCGCCGGCGCGTCAAACGCGGTGTGTCACGCGCGGCGTCACGCGGCGTGGGCGGCTCGTCCTCGGGCAAGGTCAACACCGCGGGCACCAAGTACGGCGCCTGCGCCACGCCTTGCGAGCCCTGCAGGTCCTCCCCTGCCATGGGGCACGACACAGCCGGATAATGATTAGCGGGCAGAGCCCCACAAAATGCCGTCGCTGGGTGTTGCCTCTGGCTGCGGCGAAATCTGGCCACATGAAGGCGATTGCTTATTACTCCATCATTGTTCGGTGTGCCTTAGGAGAAGAGGGTGCAGAGTTGCACCAGTCTTGTTTCTTTTGCTCCTGTTGCCTGAGTTCCTGGAGCCAATGAGCCAATGAGCGTAGCATCAACAAGAACAGGCACAGTATGTAGGGGCAGCTTTGGTATTACGATGTGTTATGTGTATGGCTGGCCCTGCTCAGCAGAAGGACCAGAAAGGAGGTCGTCACTCTGGTCTGGCTTTAAGAGTAAACATCCCACCCATGCCTACAGGTCAGTTTGGCCTCATGGAAAGTGGAGTCGATCATCCAAAAACACGACAGGGACGGAAAGTTTTAAGGGCATTTAAGGACCAGGCTTTACGGAGTCACACTAGGCACTGTGGGAAACAGTGGATGACATCGCAGGGAGAAAAACCGCCGCGTCATCCGCACCATCCGCACCATCCGCGCCGTCGACACGGCGCGAGTTGGTTGGCACCTGGTGCGAGTTCAGTGGCATCAGGGTGTGGTAGGGAGTCGGTTGTGGTCACCTCAAGCGCTTGGCTTGCATCAAACGCGGCAGCGAAGTGGAGCAGAACCTCGCCCAACACTGCTTAGCCGGAAACTGTGGCATCAAGAACGCTCAGAAGAGTGAGTATAGCAACTTGGCAGCGCTCCTCCGGCTTTTCTCCGAAGGGTGAGACCGCTTCGACGCGTATCCGGCAGCAATGCCGCAACTTGGACCCGTGGGGCACCGCGCACATCTACATGCTCGTCCAGAGCTACAGTCTCTCTCGGGGCATCGGACACCCAAGCCATCACCCCAACCTGGTCGCCCAAGACCTGACCTTCAACTCCTCCCCGAGCAGAAAGATGCAGAAAGAACCGGCAGCCCAATCACATGAAACATTCAGAGTCTATTTCTTGGATGCGTGTCGTGGCCTATGTGGAATCACCCCTTTTCCCACCCAATTTCTGGTCAGACTATCAGGTCAGGAGGGTCACCGGATTTGCGGGCGACCATTACTTTGCACATGCTAAGTTGAGCTCATCCAGTGTCCATTTAAGAAGCGTATTGATTCGCTTCCTCAGTTGTCGATCCTTTCACATGATTGTTCTTCCCAATGATGATCCAGCGAAGCTGACTTGCACGGACCTCTACCATTCTCGGATTGGAGTTCCACACCTTACTTGCTTATGTGGTTTACTTTACTGTACTTCACATTACTTGCTTTACTTGCTTACCTAGCTTACCTTGCTTGCCTTACTTATCTATTAGTTACTTGCTTGCTTGTTTGCTAAGTAACTTATACAATATATATATATATATGCTTGCTTATTTCCTTACTCGTCTCTCTCTCTCTTACTTACCTTACTTACCTTACTTCTTCCTTTCTCTTTCCTGATAGCTTTTGACCAGTTTTCCACAAACGATACTGTCCAATGGTCATTATAAACATGCATTCTTCAAATCGTCTAGCCTTGCAATGATTTGAACCCAAAATAGCATCTGAGACATGTGAATCATCAAAACCAGGTGCCTGCATTGACGTTGTAGACCTTGACAATAGGAGGATTTAGAAATCTATAATCTATTTGTAATTTGGTTTTGTTTGATTCTGTTTGATGTGTTTAACACCCGGAACGTCTGCCGACAGCCTACTGTTCACCAGAACCTCTTAGTGCCACATTGGTCCACTGGCCAGATATCACCATCGCAATCGTCCGCTTGAGCGGAATGGCGAAGCGTACGAGGCGTTGAAGTCCTTCGAACATCGTCGAAACTTCTGGAAAATCAGGCAGCTTCCCAGGTCCACATCCAACAACTTTGCCAGCCGGCACATGTCATGGTTTCCCCTCGGAGGCCCTTTTTTTGTATGCCCACTTGGCTGAAATGGGAGTACAACTTGAAAAGTCCGGAATCCATCCATAATATTATAGTACACCGCGAAAAAAGTAAGAGGCGCAACTCCAATCATGCGGAGAGCGCCATCTACCCTACCCAAACGTCAAATTCAGACCACTGCCAAAAATCGCGGTTATGGATCCGTGACTGATGAGATCTTGAAACATTGCGCCATCTACTTGCATTGCCAGTCACTAGACAAATGCTAATGCTACTGTAAGTTCATGATTCTTTGCAAAGATGAGGCCATTCCATGATATGCACTCTTGCCCCTCTAAAAAGTATTGAGCCATCTACTCCCTCATGATTTAGCTTTGCAGACGATGGGTGAACGAATACTAAAAAATCACGAAACCTGACAAAAACCACCTGTTTTTTTCCCAAATTCAACCTTAAGACAAAAAAATCGGGACGGCTCGATTTCAACAATCACCTTTGATCGAGTCTACTCGCGCCGTTTTTGCTTGGCATCCCTTGTGTGGAGTAGATGGCGCAACTCAAGGAGCGTACAATGCCAAGTAGATGGCGCAACTCAAAAACCCTGTGCCTTTTACTTTTTTCGTGGAGTAGTATATATATATATATAGATGCCTTTTTGGACCGGGACTTTCTGAGCCTGTGCTGCACACCTCTGTGTAATGATTCGGCGCTTGCGGCAGCTCTTGATTCACAGCGGAGCTCCAGGTTTGCAAATCACATGTTTCTTGTGTAGTAGTTCCGTGCCAATGTCATTCCAACATAATTTTCACAATTGGAAAAACTCTACTCTTGTTGGTTAAAGCTCCCGTTCATCGACCAAAACGAGACTCTCAGCCTCGAAACGCCTCAACAGGCTCCCAAGACCTCGAAAGCGATTTTGAGCCCCGTGATCCACGGGTGGTTCTTCATTGGCTGCGCTCGCAGACCAGCACCGGGGCCGCTTCGCCAGCTTGAAACCCTTTGGGGGACGGCGCGCGCGCCACTGGCCAAGCCCTTCCTGGCTGCTAGTGATGATCTCGACATGTGAACTCGAACAGCCCTGGTCCCCAACATCCGCTGAATCCCACGATAGAGATCAGTGTTGTGCACTCCCTGGAATACAAAAATCATGGAAGTGGAAAACCTGTTTGTAGAGGAAAACGGCCATCCAAGGGCCATTGTTCACTGCCATGATTTGTCCGGGGAAGGTATCTGATATCAGCTTCTCGTAGACAGGTCATCAACACCACAAGCAGCCTGAGACAGTTCATCCGATTCCGTCAATCGAGCTCAGGTTGAACTCTGTCTTGGTGGCGCTGTTCCAGAAGAAGGCTCGCTATGCTGGCGGAGGTCCTGGTGCTGGTCTATTCACCAAGTTGGAGAAGGGTCCGAAACAACAACCCACCGGGGGGGCTGCAAGGCAAAGAAGTCTCGTCCGTTCATCTAGTCCCTGCCAGGTACAGCTCACATGGAGAAGAAAGACCAGGAAAGGAATGTGATAAAGCACGCCCTACCCTACTAGGACCTCCAAGGCCACACTATGTAGCCAAAGAGGAAGGTGCACTCCTTGGAAGGCCCTGGTGTGTAGAAGGTGCGGATTAGCCCTCATTCCGCTGAACTTACCCCATCATCCAACACCCTCAGCCCCGAAAAGACCCAAACCCACCCGCCAAAAAAGAGGTGTGTGTATATATATGTGTGTGTGTGTGTCTCTTTCTCTCTCTCTCTCTCTCTCTTGGGGTGAGGCATCTAATCGCACGAGAAAGCCCCCAAGCAAAAAGAAAGAACGCCCCGACCCCAAGAGGGACGTTCTTTAACGCACCCCAAGAACGCCCCCACCCCCACTCGTCTTCTTCGGTCCCTGCTCCGAGCTGCGTGGGGTTCACGTCCACCTGGTTCACATCCAGTGGCAAATCTGAAATCTGGTATGGCGGCAGCTTGTTGATCGCCTCCACAAAGCACCGTGCGTACACCACGGCGGTCGCCTCGCTCTTTGGTTTGGACATCACACAGCTGCAATCGGAGAATCGGAATCGAGTGATTTGGATTGAGGGGGGTTTGAGGGGGGCGGTTGAGCTATCCCAGATCCATCCATGCGTGGAATAGCATATTGGTTGCATAGAGTCCTGGCCCTAGCTATGTTCTTGTATGACCCTAATGTACAGTAAGTACTTTCGGAATCAAACATGGACGGTCCCTTGCTTTTCGAGTGAACACCCAAGACCGGAAGACCCAGCCTGCCACTTCCTGGCACCAGGTGAAAACGTCTATGGAACCGATTGTGGAACACTTGGGCAACTGGACCATGCGATAAGTCGACCATCTAAGAATCTAAGGCCTTCCATCTAAGGGGAGCCGAAAATTGAAGCTGTTCAGCCGTGGGATGGGAAAAAACGCGTACCGCTCTTGCTTGGCTTCAAATGCGGTCCGCTTCACCAATGCATCCGCATGATCCTGCAGTACCAAGTAAACTTCTCGGGTCGGCAAATGCAAGGCCCGGCTTTCCACCGTCGCTTCCAGTCGCCCATGGTGTTTCCTCAGGCCGTTGGATCGCCTACACTGTTGTTGGCATGTGACGGTGCGCTGGTGGAAGGAAATCATCAAAGAACATGCATGTGTGCGTGGCAACCGGCTCTCTCGCCAAACAAAGCTCATCCAAGCACATGAGACCCTACAATGTTCTCCCAGCAACTAGTTCCACGAGCAATTGGGGTGGAAATCACATTTTGTGCGTATGGTTTCCCAAGGTGTTTCCCTATGATTTCCCAGGACAGATCAAGGAAAGCAAAGGAAGACAATGGGTGTTTAGATTTTTAGAGAGCACCCTTAGGAAAGGTACAGTGCAAGCCCTCTATGAATACTGGCTCCATGGCATGGGTGATTCGAGCAGCAAGAACGCTCACGTCGATCACTGAGGATCCAAGACTTACCACGTTCCATGAGGGGGGGTCCACGACAAAAGTTCGGGGCACAGCAGAGGTGCTTTGCTGTAAAGGATGTGTCCCGTATGGTCCATTTGCGTCAATTCACAGCTCAGCTTGCAAGCAATGTGATTGAAACGATGCTTGGTGCAGTAACTTCAGCATCGCAGCTGTTCATCACTGCAAAAAAATTGCGTGGACACCAAAAACAAGAGACAGAGAGAGAGAGAGAGAACACATTTCGGAAAGACCACAGTACGTGTACCACATGCCACTTGTACATTGTACGGTCATGAGTTGTCCACTCAGAAAGCCCAGCATCCACCCTCTGATCCACAAGGATTGCTCACTGACATATTCTCCAGATGAAATTCCCACAGGATGATTGGCGTCTTGGAGAGCCTTCAATTGTCCTGCCCAGATGGTAGAGAGGTCGTGGGACACCCATCCCTCAGGCTGGACCTGCCCGGGACCTGCCAAAAACCTCCCATCATTCAATCATTCCCAAGCGCTTAGAATTTTGCAAACAAAGAAACACTGTTCGATCTATATACTTCCTCTACTACTTCACAAACCTTTGTCTTCGTCCACGCACATTCCACCATCGAAAGGGGACCGAAACGCACCAGGCAACAGAGCTCAACATGGAAGATGGCAGGCCCCTTGGATGACCACGAAATCCTCTACAAACAGGATCAAAGTCCGTGGTTTTCGATAGAATTCCACTTCGATGATTCCAGGGAGTGCGCTTTTGGCGGCAACATCTGAGGCTGCCTCTGGGGTGTCCGGATTTCTGCAGGGGCCGCAACAAACCGCCCACTTCTAAAGCAGCTTTCAGTGAACCCAACATCCCAGGTCCTGCAGATTCATTCGACTTACGATGCCCGTGATTGGTGAGGACGTTGAAGAACATGGAGGACGGCAAGGCCTCGTCCTCACCGCGAAGCTGTGAATCTGAACCATCTGCCCCGGAGATATAACCAGCAGCCCCTGCAGCAATGATGTAGATGCCTTGGCCCTTCCTCGGCCAACTGGCGTTTTTTCTTGGAATGGGGTGCACTCGGCCAAGGCCGCAGGTCGTTTAAGAAACGCGTAGAAGTTATATATATGGAATTACCAATTCTGCTGAAATGTCTGCCATGATTTGGAGTTGGATCGCTGAACTATTGGTTGCACAGACTTCACTGAAAAACCACCCCAACATCACTTTGCAAGGATAACTCTGGTAGCTGAGGCTACCTCTCACCATTGGTTGATCCAGATGCCTTGTTCTTCTTGACCCCCTTCGATCAACAAAGCCGATCACCGACAAACGAGATGAGGTCTGTGCCGTGATGGATTTCCAGGTCACCCGGTGGAAAGCTGAGCGCATTCAGCCATGAAAAATACAATTCGATCACACAGAAAAACTGGGCCGACCCCGGTCTAGGCCGATGAACCTGAGCGTGAGCGGAGCGGGGCCAGTGTTCCTGTTGAGGGGCTCCGGTGTAGCGGTGGGCGATGGCACTCAGCCGTCAACTTCGCAAAGTTTGGCCGCTTCGTTGACATTTGTTCGTTTTTCTTGTCTACTGAGTCTACTGGGGGCCGTCTGGGATTCTTTTTCGGGAAAAAGCGGTGTCCAGGGTCCCAGACCCTGTTGGGTGGGGCACCCGTTAACCCTGCACACGGGGAGGTGCCGCACGTGCGCGCGCCCACTGGAGTAGGAGTGGAACAAACAGAGCATAATTTGAGCGATGGCCTCCACCTTAGAAGTGAAGGCCTCCAACCAAAGAGCGACGGTCTCCAGTCTGAGATGTTGTGTGTAGTGTTTTCCGAGCAAAACCCAAATCTCAACACAATACCGACATGGTCGACGGGTCACCTCACTTGACTCCCCGCGGCTCCCCTCTCATACGTCGGCGGCCGCCCCGAATGGGGCCAGCAGCCCGTGTTGGTCGCCAAAAGGCCCAGGCCGAAGGCCTCTACCTTTAGGTAAAAGGGGGTCCGCCCCCGGTTGGGATACGGGTTTGGATGGATCAAAAAAACGGGGGCGCCCTCATGGAATCAACATGTCTATTTTCAAAAGCCAATGGTGCGAGATATGCTGCCCGAGTAGCCTTGCATTATCTGCATGTTGTGTTTTTGGTTGTTATTCTTTGGGTAGCCCTTGGTATGCTTAGGCATACGGGCTTAACAGGTGTTTAGAGGTAGGGGTTTAGTCAGGGTAGTCGCGGGCATCCAGCAGATCAGAAGGTGGGCTAAACAGCCATGAAAATCAACCCAAGATGGGTTTCAATGACCTGTCGAAAGGCTCATAAGCGGGGTTTAGCCACGCAAAATTGTTTACAATTCCCTTTTTTGATCCGAATCATGGGCTGTGGCCACCTTGTCAACAGCACAGGCCTGAAAAAACAACTGAAATCAAGAAATGACCAAAACTGCGCCAAACTGAATAGGTGGTAGGGAATAGGCCTGGGACTCAAGAAAGACCCTGTGAAGTCATGGTTAGAACAAAGCGAAATAAGTCAGGAACATTGTTGAAACAAAGCAGGAACTGATAGGTCGGGAATGGGTCGGAAATAGGTCGGGGCCCCAAGAAAGACCCTGCGAAGTCATGGTTGGAACAAAGCCGGAATAGGTCGGGGATAGGTCGGAAATAGGTCGGAATAGGTCGGGGCCCGAAGAAAGACCCTGTGAAGTCATGCTTGGAACACAGCAGGATTAGGTCGGGAATGGGTCGGAAATAGGTCGGAATAGGTCGGGACCCTAAGATCCTGTGAAGTCATGGTGAACAGGCAGGAATAGGTCGGGAATAGGTCGGAAATAGATCGGGAACCCAACTACAGCGGGATATAAGCATACTGGCCAGAGCTAATGACAATTAACATCATCAGGGTATGCTTAGGACCAATGTAGTAGGGTTCCCGACCTATTCCCGACCTATTTCTGCTTTGTTCCAACCATGACTTCACATGCTACTTCCCTTAGGAGCAAAATGCATCCTGTCAGCGTCAGCCCAGGCACAATGCTGTTTTCCGACCAACACATCGTTTCAACCACACGGAATGTCAGCGCGACATCAATGGTTTACAGAAACAAATTAAGAAGGCAGTGCATCTTGGAACCCACGAACCCCACTCAACAAGCTTGACTTCACATAATCAAAACTGCTGATGCGATAAAAGGCTTGGTTGCCCTGCGCGCGCAAAAGATTTTTTTGATTCATTTATCCCACCCGTGGCAATCAACAGATCGCCCCTTTGAGCTAGCAATTGTGTATGTTTGCGCCGCCTGACCCTAGTGAAGCATCAACCTATATAGAAGCAACACAATCACTTCAGCGAGCCGCTTTTGACACCAGTGACCCCTGTATCACGCAAACATTTTGCGCGTTTAGCCCCTGCAAAACATCGGCTCCAGCAAGTGAGAATACACGACCTGGCATTGATGTGATTTTATGCTGCCTGACCCTGGCGAAGTGCAATCTCGGAACCAACAGATCCCATTCAGCAAGCCTAATTACAGTCAAATATCTCCAACTTCCTTGCGACGCACCCTGCAACACCCTAGCGGGCCAACTGCGTAAGCATACCCGAAGTAGCTAAGGCGATTTTCGGCTATACAGTGCCTAAGCATACCAAGGGTTACCCAAGTTATTCTGCTTTTCATCTTCCAGACAAAGAGCGGCCACAAACATAATGATGAGAACAACAACAACAACAACAACAACAACCACCACCACCACCACCACCACCACCACCACCACAACCACAACCACAACCACAACCACAACCACAACGAGAACGACAACGACAACGACAACGACAACGACAACCACCACCACCACCACCAGCAGCAACAGCAACAGCAACAGCAACAGCAATAGCAGCAGCAGCAGCAGCAGCAGCAGCAATAACCACAACCACAACCACAACCACAACAACAACCACCACCACCACCACCACAACAACAACAACAACACCTGCTGCTGCTGCTGCTGCCGCCATCACCGTACCAACACCCACACCGACCGCCTGCCAATGCCATCCTTGCATCTCCTCTGCTTCTACGGGCCTGCTGGCCCGCTGGTGGGCGACGCCGTTCCATTACCCCTATCGAGCGAGCTTGCTATATGGAGGCGCGCTCCATGCCGCCGACCCGCATTTCTACCATCACCCGGGCTCATGTGGCTTCGTCAAAAAACGTCAAAATAGATGAAAGTGATCAAAAATGGCCGCTGTAAAGCTTATAGCTTCAAAACCTCTAGAAAATAGAGCATTGAACCTGGAGACAAAAAGGACAAATTTTGGTCTCAGCAGGAAAGATGCAAATCCTTTGGTGCATGACTAGGCGCAAAGCACTGTAAATTACAGTGTTCTTTGCCACATGCATGTAGTTGATGAACAATGCTGTTCGTACTCTGGTGATGCCAATGGTGCTCGACACAATGTTACCTCAAAACTTCCTCTCCCCTTTGCATACTTTCCTCTCTAGAGATGAAGCTTTACAGTAGCCATTTTTGAACATGTTCATGTTTTTTTGCTTTTGAACTTTTTTCAATTAAATACATACGTCTTGCTGATGTAGCACCACCTGGGCTTATATGGCTTCTTCAAGTATCAGGACTTTGTAGTGGAAAACGCTGAACAAGTTCTATTTTTGCGCATACTTCTACCCCAAAATCTATCTGCGACGCAACGGTGGCTCCAACTCGCCCTTTGGGTGAGCGCGCGCCCGCGCCCGTGCGTTGTGGGCGCACGCGCACACTTGCTCGTGTGCGTGCGTGTGCGCGAGTGCATGTCAGCGAGTGTGCGTGCGGGTGCGGGTGCGGGTGTCCATGTGCGTACATGTGTCTGAAGCTGAGGTTGCCAGGCTTTTTCCATCAGACCCTCGTGCGCACACCTGTCTGGGAGTGTGTATGCGCAGGCGTAAGAAGCTGTGCTAATCGTCGGATTTTGCTGTGCAAAGAGCCTGCGTGCAGTCCCCCCAGGGGCGTCGCCGGTTGGCGAAGCCTGTCAGTAATCAAAGCAAATCAAGTGACTGATTCGCATAGAACATCAAGTCCCTCTCTAGAAGGTAGAGCTCCTTCACCGCTTTGTTGCACAGGTGCGATTCCATTACTAGGTTCGCGCTCCCAATCTCTGAAAAGAAGGGGTGGAAAGCCAGAGTCTTGGCACGGGCTTCGTGGAACAGCTCCACGACCAGCCCCTCAGGCAGTGCCAGCAAGAACTCCATATGGTTTTGGATGCTTGCACGCAGATGATCACGTTCCACGAGGTGCTTGATCTTCCGGGTGTGGCCTGCGGAGACGCCACATGCTCCACAGTACTTCCTCACAGACTCCAGAATCCTGAAGTGGCAAACAGGGAACATCGAGAGGCGAAGGGACCAGCACAAGCTGGTAAGCCCCCTTTCAAATCCATGCTCAAAATCCATCCCAGTCGATGATGATGGACCTCAACCAACAACAATAAAATGGTTTGCGAGGAGGTCGAAAAAATCCCTGTCCAGGGAAAAGAACCGGTTTCCGCCCGAGAATCTGTGTCATCTTCCGCGTTCGGCGAGCTGCATTGGCCATCAAATTGGTCAAGACGCTGACAAATAATGAGGAGATGATCAAAGCGATGCCGGTTGCGATGATGGCCAACCAGCGCTCGAAGGCCGTATTGAGTTCCACATTGCCCTTCAAGGAAGAGGCTGGCAGCCGAGACAAGGCCCACTCAACGCTTCGGAGATACTGGCGAGCAAAGCTGGCTTCATGCAACCCTTCCAGGCACACCCAGCCAGTGTCCACATCCCCTGCTAGGAACCATAAACCGGCCAGGAAATGCACGGCGATCATCAGGCAAAGCACCAGCGAAAGTACGGGCGTCAGTGTGGAGGAAATCCACCCGTGAAAGAACAATCTGAACTGCCTGTAGCAACTCCTCGCTTCACTTTGCAGTGCAAAACACACACAAAATAAGAATAAAAATAGAAAAGAAATCCCGCTGCTGGAAGACAAACACCGGCACCCACTGAAACAAAAAATAACAAACAGCAAAAGGCCAAAAGAGGACCTTTTCCGTCTTGGGCGGTGCAGGAGTTCTTGAAAACCGGAACTGATCACATTTTTCCGTTTCAGTCACTTGGCCAGCAAGTTAGCCCGGTAAAAATAGAACCGCAGCACCTAATCTTGGGATAAGGAAAACTTGCGAGAGGAAGGGCTACGACAAGGTTTGGGCTGGGTCACCAGGATCAAAATCTAGTCATGTCTGAGAAACATGTGACAATGTGCATATATGTGTATATATATATATGACGTCTATGAAGGCAAAGTAGCTTGAATGGGAAGAGCTGACCCACAGCCCTAGTTCTTGTGACTTTCAGACCCCTTGGAGCACCTGTTTGCCTCATGTTGCCAAGCCTCATCTGCTTGATCAAGTTCATCGACTTCCGAAACCTCAAGACCTTCACAAAGCGCACCAGCCGCACCAGGCGCCGAGCGCGCAAGGTGCGCAAGACACCGGACACTTCCAGTTCGGAGCTGTTGGACAAGGTGAAGATGATAAACAGCTCCGGAGCCAACATGAGCCTCGTTTCCCAATGGATCTCCGGCAGCCAAGGTTAGAGGAGCCAGGGTTTCTAGGCAGGTCTATGGATCTGGTCTTTGGAACTGCTTAGCAGCTATAGTGGCACTTAGATCCACACGCGCGCGAGCGTTTTCTTGCGCGCGCGAGCGTTTTCTTTGGTGGCGATGTTCAGGGTTCGGAGATGAGCAGCCAATATCATCCTATATAGAACCTCAGTGACTACTTTCTTGGGTGTACTTGAATTTTATGTATGTATTTGCTCATATGGCCAATACATTATATACAGTATGTGCATGTGTTTATGTTGTTTTTTATTTGCGCATTTGTTATTCGTGAGAGATGGCATCTAAACATGTTTTCCTGTGAAAGCAGTTGTCTCAATGCGTTCTGGGACAAAAATTTCTGCCAGTTGGTGGTCCTTGGTCATTCCGAGGAGGAGTGGGGATTGAACAAGTCTCTTCCATCAAAGCACCGAAAAAACCCGATCGCCGATCGGCAGTGACCATCGACGGCTGAAAGCTACCCATCCCCTCTTCTTACTTCCATGCTTGGGCTGCAGGGGTCACACTCGGATGTGAGGCATCGTGGTACGAGACGTGACGCATCATGTCTTTGGGGAAGTCCGGTCTGTCACAACCTTTGATTGGTGGTATTGTCAATCGCTGTGGTTTTGACATGTTTGGACACTGTTCTGCGAACGTTTGTTGCATGGCGCCGTGCCACGTAAAAAGAAGTGTGACGTATATTGACGGAACGGGCAACTTCTCATACCCCCAAATTTCACCGTTAGTCACGTATTTACACATAGGGTCCGGTATTGTATATATATATACTAGACTATGTATGTATATACCATTGTATACCTACCAACACCTTCCTACCTGAAAGCGGATTCCTACCACAGGAAAACACGCGGTCCAACCGTGGACCAGGGGCGACGCCGCGCGCACGTTTCACCGCTGGCTCTCGAGCCCACCCTGTCGGATGGAAAAGGGTCATGTCAAGTGAACCTCAAGCTTGCATCCCATACACTTCCTGACCCTTTTCGGTCTCATGTGTAGGGATCATAGCGAACAGGGGATTCCTCTGCATCCCATGGCCAATTAAATTGGTTGGCCAACTTCTTCAAAGCTGAGATGAAAGCAACCTCATTGGTTTCCATCTCTCGGACCTTTTGCTCGAGGATCCTCTTGTGGACTTTCCTGCCCGCTTCAAACTTTGGGTCGTGCACCAACCGCCATTTCTGGCGTTCTGAAAAGAACTGCAGCAGCATCTTCCGCGCACCTTGCTTGGTAAGCGCATCGCCAAGCTGCGCATGGCCTCCGACCCATCGGAGCTGAGTCTTGGCCTTCACGGCCTGTGCCACCGCGAGCGTCAGCTCGTAGCCCGCTCTGCTGTCCTTATAGAGCGTCTCGATGGTCGCGCTCCCAATTTCGCTGAGAAGTAGGGACACCTCTGCCAAGAACTGAGGTCCTGACTGTGTGCTTCGCCAGCTCATAGTCCCCAAAGCTCCTCTCAGCTGAGAGATCTCCTGAGGATTCAGGGGGGTCTTTCGGGCTTTGTTCTTGTCAATGTTGATCTCCTCAAGCCACTTGAGCGAGTAGGCCTCTTGGTTGAGGACGATGCTCATGTCCTTGCCTTGCCGGAGTGAACAGCCGGCGAATTCAAAGGCTTCCTCCTCCCATTTTCCCCATCGGAACGACTTGGCCAGGATCTCCTCACGGCTCTTGTAGTAGTCGGACTGCAGGTCACCTGCTAGTAGAAAGTCATCCACGTGCAGTCCAGCCAGGCCGGCAATCTTCTTGTCGCCGTTCTCTCCAGCCTCAAAGAGCGAAAAGAGGCACTTATCACCTTTCAGCTGAGTCCACCCAGAAGCGGTCATCACCTCCACGCATCGCTCATACCACTTGCGAGGCGCATGAGCTAGCCCATAGAAGGCTTCTCGAACTCGAAGGGCTCGGAGGTCACCAGGCTTGGCACCGAAGAGAGCGGAAAGCTCCGGCGGTGCGAGGACGTTCAGCTCCTCGGACTCCAGGTTCGTGCCTGTCTGCAAGAAGGCAGACGTCACGTCACCGCTCTTGACGGTGAGGTGTAGTCCTGCCGCTGCCGTCAGCAGCAGGTTCCTCCCCAACTTTGACATCGTCGGGCTCGACGTCTCCACCTCCGTCAAGTTGTGGGCTTGGAACCCGAGGACCACCAACCGAGCCTTCGCCGAGTTGTCGGCTTTCCTCGTGAGCACCCATCGCATCTGCATGACCTTGGATGGGTCGAGCTTCGCCTCCTCCGCGGCCGTGAGATTCCGCAAAGCGCGGCTGATGGCCACCTGCGAAAGCTCCTTGGCCATTGCCATATCGAAGTCCTTCTTCTGGTCCAGCGGGAGCCGCATCCAGTCCACCTCCTTGCCTTTCTCGGCCATCTTCTTGCTCAGCCACACGGTGCCCCGTCGGCGGTGCCGATTCTTGGCCAGCCACTCGAAGTCATCCTCGTCAACGTCCAAGGTGAACACCACAAAGGTCTCCTCCTCCGGCTTCTTGTGGTCATTTGGTTTAGACTTGCCATGCTCCTCCACCGGGCGAAGTTCATCTGAGCTGTCAGAGCCAATGTCAGAGGGCTCTGAGATTGAGCTCGAAGATGAGTCCTCCTCCATCTCTTTCTCACCTGAGGTCGGTGCTCGTCTTCCTTCATAGAGGTCATAGATGAAGGTTTGACCGTTGCGGTCTTGATGATGCCCATCATGGCCACCAGGCAGGTCGCATTCTGGCACTGCGCACCTGTTCACTCCTGACTCACCTCGGAGTGGCATGTCATCCACCATCTCGGGACCACGTTCATGTAGTGCAGCTTGAAGACCAGTAGGGAGGTCGGTCGATGCGCTCGCCTGTTCTTGTAGTGGAAGTTCTCCAGCACCGTGGCCGTCAGATTCTCCCGGATGTCCATCATCTTTGGTCACCTGCTTGTCGGCCTTGCGCTTAGAGCCTCGGCTTTCTGCCTTCTTCACCTTCTTGGTCGGTTGATCCATTGGCTTCAGCTCAAAATGAGTCTCGCCAGTCCATCGGTCCGGAAGGTTGCGGACCACATCAACCGTGTCCGTGATGACCACAGGATCACCAGGAGGTAGTCCGTCTCCTCGCCGTAGAGGTTGGACATGTGTAGTCCTCTTGCCCGTGAGGTCATCAATGCTTACGGGGCAGTTCGTGGCTCGAAGCGGATTAAAGAGTCCAAGACGCGGAAGATGGTGATGTCGAATGAGAACGCGCTCACCATCGTCTTGCTTCAAGGTCCAGGTGTCGCTTTTATTCCGGTCAGAAGGCTCTTGCAGGACAGTGGATGGTGTCAGATCTGCCAATTGTCTCTCTTCTGAAGGGACGTCTCCAGACAGGTCCAGGTAGTAGCGCCCTTGAAAGCTTTGAAGAAGAGAGCTCACTGAGACAGGCTGTCGATAGATGGCTGCTCCTTCCATCACTGCTCCAAGTTCTTCTCGCCTTGAGACAGGTCGGATTTGGTTGACCTTAGCTCGGATCAAAGTTGAGCCAGAACTCATCCATGCTGTCGTGCCCTCCATGAGGATGATGCGGACAGGGCCGCTCCAATGCCCCTTCACCTTGCCAGGCTTGACCTTCTGGCGCCACACCATCACCAGTTGTCCATTCTTGTACTGGGTCACCCGTCTGCCAGTAGAATTTGCTAGTCGGCTAAAGCGATCAGCTGCTCGTTCTTTCTCGAAGGCCAACTTAGCACGTTCTCTCTCCTTCACAAGTTGGTTGAAGGCCTTCCGAGGGTCGATGTTCTGCAGCAGCTGCTCATCGTCCAAGACTCCTCCGCCATAGCCAAAAGCCCACTGGAACGCACTGAACCCGCTGGGTCCAATGTGAGAGTTCATAGCACTGGCCGCCATGGTGTAGAGCTCAGGGATCTTGAGGCGACTTCCTTCTCGGGCCAGTTCTCTTGGCGATCCCAATCGCTCCCTCCTCTGGTCCAAGAAGCCAATGAGCTTCTGCAGGCGCCACTGACAACCCCACTCCAGAGCGGTTGAGAAACTCCATGAAGGCGTTGGAAGCGTAGTACCTCGCTGCGTCCGTGAAGACCCATGTCGGAGTCGGGTAGGTCATCAACCATTTCGTCAATGACTGGATCACAGCTTCTGTCGTTGGTTCCCAGCTGCCGCCTTCATCGCCGCCATACTCCTGGAGGTGGTCTATCATAGTCAGACCTGAAGCTCGATCACGCCAAATGATCAGCTTATGCTTCTTGCCCGAGGGCTCCTCATGCTCAAAGACATCGGATCCCAGCTGAGCGAAGACAGCTGGCGTCTCCGAAGTGCTTGCTGGTGGTCGAGGTCTCACCTTGGCCGCTTCTGTGCATTCAGGGCACTCCAGCTTAGAAGCGATTTCGATCGCCCAGCCAGGGGATCCACGGGCCTTCAACAGCTGGACCAAGTTGCTCATCCCGGCATGGCCACTCGCTCGATGGACACGAAGCATCAACTGCTTTACGGCCTCCAGCTTCTTCCCCGTGGGCGCCGTATCCAGATCCAGTCGTCGTCGAGAAAGTGCCAGGACCTGCTCCTCTCCACCAGGAAGATCAGATTGAGGAACTCGCCGGGGTAGGTCACCTGAAGACACCACGTCCTTCTCCGTGACGGTATCCAGCAGGTAGAGTTCAGCTGCTCGCTCTAGGGAAGCGTCCTGACCTTGCCATCGATGCATCATCGCCTTGCAAATCGCTTGGCACATCTTTGGAGGGTAGTATGCCGAAGACTGTGCTGCATTGCCACGGCATTGAGCGTGTTCGTGACTGCGGTCACATCTCTTGTTCAAAGTCAGCCATAGCTCACGGCTGGTCGTCAGGATGGTCCAGGACTTCTTCAAGGCAACGCCCTGCCACTCCAAACCGTATGCACAGCCGTCGATGCGGACCCAGTAGATCTGCCGATGGTGCTTGTCCATGAGCCGCTTCAGTCGTCCTATGGCCTTTGAGCGCCAACCGGCCACTGCTGTTGTGGGCCATTCCCATGCCACATCGTCTCCACTTTCAAGGATCGGCTCCAGGGACATTGCCACTTCTTCACACCGGCGGAGATCTTGTCCTCGACCAGCGAAGGTCTCACTTGCTTCTCCGTCATATTGACCACTTGGGAGAGCTCTTCTGCCACGGTACTCCTCGAAGAATTGGATGCCATAGTGCTCGTCGGACACATAGGGCATGAAGATTTCGTAGTGCTCGTAGTGCGTGTAGTGGAATCTCTTCCATCCCAGGGTGAAGATTGTCGTGTTGGGCTCAATGATGTAGTGAGGGTATTGATGCCGTCATCAGCCTCCAGCCGATCTTGGCATGTCGTCCCGTCAGGGACATTCCGTTGCATCCGGCTCTTGATGCCTTGCAGCTTGCTCCACAGTGCTGCTAATCGCCCTTCTCCTCCTCCGTCTTCTCCGGATCGCTGTCCCAGATCTCCTGCACCGTCTCCTCGGAGTTGACACTCATGGCCACTGGAACCAAGGCTGCCGATGAAGTTGCCTTCTTGCCCTTCTCGATCTTCTCCGTCTTCGCACGAGTCATGGCATTCTTCATCTTCTCGGCTGCGATGATCTCCTCCTCCGGGGTCATGGGCTTCTTCGCAGGAGTCTTTGGTGCCGGCGATAGCGAGCGTCCCTTGGTCTCCTTGGATGGCTTCAGTGGGCTCGCCGTTGGGTAGCTCCCTGAGCACGAGGCATTGGCCATCATCGCCTCGCCCAACTTCTCGTCCGCTCGGACTTGCACTGTCGTCCGGCTGTGCCCGCCGCTCTGCACCAGCGTCCGGCCTCTGATCTCCATCAACTTCCCGTTGAAGATCTTCTCCGTCATCTCCGGGGCCGCAAACAGCGACTTCAGCTCCTCGAGCTCGACCTGATCGGGAGGCGGTCCCACTGCCCGTGTCTGACCGGTTGCCTTCCCTTTGGTCACGTAGCGAAGTCGAAGGCCGCATCGGCTGCATGCCTGCCACATCGCTGAGCCATTGGAGCGCTCTCGTCCCGGAAGATGTTCTCCACGGCATGGCCATCCCACTTGTCGGGGATCGTGATCCGAGGACGGTGGGCATGACTTCATCCTCTGGAGAGGAGACGTAGATGGCCTGGTGTACTCTCAGGCGCTGAGCCAAGATGCTGAGGCGGCTGGAAAGATCATCGTTTCCATCCTCTTGGACCATGAAAATTGTCCCATTCGCAACTGCAGACTGACATTCATCATGAGAGTGAATGGAATGATGATCCTCATGTTCATGACCAACTTGTTCATGTACAGGTGCATGTTCTCCGTGTGCATGATCAACTGGTTCATGTGCAGGTGCATGTTCTCCATGACAAGAAGCGCTCGTGACTGCACTTGACTCCATCGTTGAATCCTGACCTTCACAGCCTCGACTCGACTCGAGAATGCTTTCATGAACATGGGATTCACTGTCTTCGAGATCGATCGATGGATGTCTGACGATCACAGTGTCGGCCGCGTACGTTTCTCGGTGCTCAGAGGGAGTCTTCGGTGCGGGACGAACTGTTGTTTCAGCCGTCGGAGGAGGTGGTTCTTCTGGTTCAACCACCACAGAAGGAGAAAGGTTGGGACTTTCGTCCGACTCAACGTGGGCTCCCATCTCAGCAGCGCGGCCCATCCCAGAGGTAGTCGGTGCTGGAGGCCTCGTAGTTCCAGTTGCATGGCCCCTGATCAGGGCTGCTGTTGGATCTTCTCTTCGTCTTTTCGGCCTTCGAGCACCTGGGTCATCACCATCTGGGTCCTCATCGTCTTCATCACCATATGATGGTCCACCAGGAGGCCACTCAGTACCTGGGTTCGTGTTGAAGCGAGCGATCAAGAACCGGATCGGCGTCTTGGGAGTCTGCAGGTACAGGGTCAGGTGTCCACTCGGCAAGGGAGACAGTTCACTGCAGTACCAGTTGCCTCTCACGGATCGGTGTGCCATGTAGTCTCCATGGTATGAGATCACCGAACGTCGGGCCTTCAGCTCACGGGCTCCCAGCAATGGCGGTGTCATCTCAGCTCCACCATCAAGCAAGTAGAAGCCCAGTTCGCCCAGCGCTGGGGTGTAGAGGACAACTTTGCTGACCGCCCGTTGTGACTCTCCGTTCCCGAAGCGGAATCGTGGTCGATCACCAAGCTCCACATTGTAGAGGAAGTTGCAAGTGTCCATGAGCCTTGCCATCGCCCGGATGCCAGCCACAGACTCCGTCGCTCCGGTGTCGATGATCACCCGGCTGCAGGACATGTTGTCAAAATCATCCCGATCCGTCAGGCTGAGGACATAGACGTCGGGCACCCACTCCGCCTCGTAGTCGGTGAAGAAGACCTTGCCCTTCTTCCCCTTGGAGGCGCTCTTGCCCTTGCCCTTGCCGATGAAGGAACTCCTCGAAGAAGGCGATGATGAAGCTGCCTTCTTCCCTCCTTTTCCGGACCACCTGTCAGGGCACTTGGCATAGCCGTGTCCTGGTTGTCCGCAGATGAAGCACGGACCAAATCCTCCGGATCCTTTGCCCTTCCCCGAGGGCGATCCTTTTCTCTTGCCTTTTCCACCTCCGAGATGTCCAGGATGGCCTTTGGTGCCAGTTGGATCGAAGTAGCCACGAGCTGCTCGAACTCTTGCCACCGCTTGGCGTGCTTCCGCCAAGGTCTTGTTGGCCTCTGTCGCAAGAGCGTAGGCCTCTTCCAACCGCTGCTCACCCTCAATCTCTTCAGTGCTGCGATCTTGCCCTCCAGCTCCGTCATCATGAAGACCAGCATAGATCTCCTCCGCCTCGTAGCCATCATCCCATGACGGAGGAGACCAGTCGGCCCAATAGGCGTCCGCTTCGCTCCACCATGAGTCGTCATCGGGCCACCATTCGTCCTCATGTTCCCAGTCATTGTTCTCCTCATTGAACCAGACGGTCTTGCGAGGAAACCTGCCATGGTGTTCGTCCGCCTGATCCGCTCCATCAGAGAAGAGGGACCTCAGGGCTTGGCGGATCTGAGCGAAGTGCGTGGAGTTCTTCGTCAGGGTCAGGACATGCTGCCTCTCGGCTTGCGACAACTTCGAAGCCTTCAGGAGTCTATAGCCCCTCAACTCATTCTCGAAGAACCCAGCGCCACCTGAAGGCGCGACCATCGGAGGCGGCGGAGGTTCATCGTCCTCCACCACGAAGCTGGCCTCATCTCTTCCGGAGCTCAACCCTGCTCGAGTCACGTTCGGCGAACGGGTTGGTGAGATTGGAGGGTCATGTTCACTTGCCCCCACTGCCATCGACCGGACTTCATGCCGAGCGCGCTCATGCCTTGCTCGTTGAAGGGCTTGTTGGAGTTCCACGAACAGCTCTTCCTCTCGGACAAGCAACTGCGGGATGCTCTCGCTGGGGCCCCTCCTGAGGCCACTCCATTTCTCCAGCCTCGAAAACGAGTCGGGGATGGGGAGCTTCTGGAGAGGGCTTTCTCGGAGTACCCGAAGTAGTTTCTCCAGGCCTGTGTCCGAGCTGAAGTCCTTGGGGTCGAGATGGCGAACCACCGACTTGGCGGCGCCGGCGAGGCGCTGCCAAATCTTCGGGGCTGCGAGCTTCTTCTCGCTGTCCTTCAGAGAGCATTCAAACCACTTGCAGGACGTGGCGAATGCCTCGAAGGAGCTTGGGTCTCCGTCCCACACTGGGACCTCCTCAGTGGGCATCAGCCCTTGCCGCCAGGATCTCCTCGAAGGTCACCTGGATGTAGCCAGAGCTCCGCCTACCATGAAAGCGGATTCCTACCACAGGAAAACACGCGGTCCAACCGTGGACCAGGGGCGACGCCGCGCGCACGTTTCACCGCTGGCTCTCGAGCCCACCCTGTCGGATGGAAAAGGGTCATGTCAAGTGAACCTCAAGCTTGCACTACCCGATTCCTGCGAGCAGCATATCGAAGCAAAACCAGGACTTCAGGTAGACTCTTGCCACATCTTTGAGCTGAGTGTGAAGGACATCATTGATATACACGGCCGTGAGGAACGATGCGGGGACATCCAATAGCCAGTAGCCCGTGGTCACCCAATGAAGCAGGTCCAAGACCTCCTTCGTATCCGGAGCCAAGTTGTAGACTTGCAGTGGGACCGTCAGGACCTCAAAGAGGAGCACCACCATAGCGATGCAATCCCACAGGACCCTGGAAGTAGTAGGATCGGAAAAGCGTTCAGACGAAGAGGCTGGGGCGAAGAAGAGAAGACTGGTCGTTGTTTCGTGATTCTTGAGGGTATTCTTGGTGGCTTTTCTCCTCAGGGACGTCCTATTGGTCCCAGGTCTGATGCTTTTGGAACAGAATCTCCTCAGGTCCGTCCCATACTTGGCCTTAGTAGAACGGCAGGTGTCTGGCGGACTTGGGTGGTGAGACCGTGGACGTCCCTAATTGTGGTGCAAGAGAGGTCCCAGAGCAACGCAGCCATCGGCCCCCTCGCCCCCGCACTGACTCCAGATTCTCTGGATTCCTTGCAGGTTGACCTGTTTCCACCTGTGCCCCAACCGTGGATCCACCTCGCGCCTGCTCGATGACTCTGGGCTGACGGCACAACCTGGATCCAGTGTCATCGAAGACATGCGCATCCTTCCTGGCGAACGAGGCACCAGGCCGGAACCAACTGGGTGTGCATGTTCATAGCGAGGTTTCCCCTTTCTCGCCCCTATATGGTTTGGCTCTGTTTTCCGACCCTTCCAGGACGTCGGAAGAGAAAGCCTTCGGGCTCCGCGGGCCCGCGGGACCGATCCAAATACCAACAGAGGTTGAAGAACCCCATAGGTTAACCTATAGGTACCCTGGTAGGGTCCTAGTTCAGGTCACTTCACCTCTGTTGGTATACATACAATAGAAAAGATTATCATGATCAACTGACTGGGTAGGCAAAGGAAAAGGCCGTCTGTGTTGCGAGCCAACATGGAACTGGTGGTTCTACGTCCTGTCGGGATGATTATAATTAATAGTAACTCGAGTTGTTATTCATCCAAGCTTGTCAACGAGCCAAACAATGGACTCAGCCAAACCCAAACCCCCACAACTGGGTCGCATGTCATCTGGACAGATGGCTGTCATCACAAATCTGCCTTCCCAAACGAAGTCATTTGGACTTCACGGCGTCTCGTCCTACCAGTCTTTTTCCTAAACTCAAGGACCAGCCGCGCTGGCTGGTGGTGACCGTCTGGGTCTTTGGGGAGGTGATCGCGTGATTTGTCTGGAGATCCACGAGCTGGTCATCGCGCAAGTCCCACTCTATGCCGATTCGGAAGGCTGCGTCTTCCTCAGCTGGAAGCTTCCCATGGACCGGCACACAGCAAAACCGATGGCGAAAGCAAGCCGAAAAATAGTGTAAAGCCGAAAACAGTGTAGATCTGTGGTGTGTAGGTTGAGTGGGGCCCGAGTGGATGGCACTTGTTGGATGTTGTGGAGAACCACAACAGCCTTTGAGCTGCTTTAGGTGCTCGGATTGGGATTGGCCCGGGAAATGTTTCCTCCACCGATTCGCTGGTGATCAGGTGATCAAAAGTTCGATTCGGTCTGACTTGGCCCCTCTACACGCGTGATGATACTGATTGCGTGGCTTCTAAACATCTCCAGACCCAGCTACAGCAGCCTTTTTGAGCACATGTCACATGTCCCGGTGCAGAGGAAGCGTCACACAAATCTGAAGTGGCCCTTTGTACAGCGGCCTGTGCCATATGTGTGGCCAGCCGCCTGGAAGCCGTGGACATGTTCGACTTGCGCTGGGTCATTGGTAGCTCCTCAGGCTCCAGCTCTGGCTGCAATTGGACCCCCAGCGGAACAGACTCTCGAGGTGATTGTTGCGAATGCGCCCGGGAAGCGGGTGGCGATCCATTTTTCCGGGCAGACCTCACGGCGATGGCGGCACGAGCCGAGCAGAACCCAGGTCCAAAATGACAAGACTTGTCGTTGGGGCACCTGAAGGGATTGCACTTCACAAGTATACATTCATACATATATCATATATATATATATATACACATATATGCCGACACACATGTTATTTAGATTTAACTTAGTTATAGTTATATATAATTAATGATGCATATATAATCAGATAAGATATTAGATGCTGTATATTATAGTCTTCTAGGATATTAGGGTGTTGCAGTCTTCCTGCTTCTGGAATCGGCGACCCAGAAGGTGAATGGCAGATGCTCTTAAAGAGAGAAGCCCTGCCAAGGCAATCATCCTCCATGTGGAGGAGCAAGCTCTGGCCAAAGGGCAATTGCTTTATAATTACTTGCATCCCTAATTGCCGATTTCACTTCAGTGTGCGCTGGTCTGACCTTCTCGAAACATCGCCCGGCACCGGCTCTCTTCAAGTCAAAGCACTCTGCAGTGGCAGACTTCAACTTCTGTCTCGAATCCGTTTCGTAAATGTGGAGAAGCCTCTCCTGCAAGCCCTGGCAGGTTCACATTTCTGGGAGGTGGTGAGGCATGTCTGTTCATGACCCGTTCTAGGCCCTCGCAGTGGTCATGGTTCCAATTGCCTTACATACAATATCATACAGTATCTCAACATGTTCTCTCATCAGGCAACTTCCCGAAGGTCCCCTCAACCTCGCCTGAATCTGCAGGAGGACCTCCTCAAAGCTGAGCCCCAGCGATGAGCTGCGCCGATGGCTGACGGACAAACGATGTGAGCTGCGCCGACGCAGTGTCAGCGCCGGCACGCTCGCGCTGTTGGCGGTTGGGCGGCTCAAGCTGCTTGGCAAGGGGGCCTCCAGGCCGACAGAATTCCCCAATGGGCGTGCACACCACAGGGGGATGTAAGTGGACTAAGTGCACAGCACAAAAAGAAACATAAATAGAAAACAATATTAGTCCAAAAGCACATCACTGTTCGAACAACCAACTGATCAAACAACTTTTGGGTCTGAACATCTGAGGCGGCACCGCATGTGTGTGTATTTATTCGATATAGCCGTAGTCCAACGCCAAAGTATGGACGATCGATCGTGATACCCCTCACAGTCAGCGAGCAGTGGGACGCCAAACACGGACCGTATGGTGACCGGGACCGGCTGGAACTCTGGACGATTGGTCCCACACCGAACCCAGCAGGTCTGGTTTTCTGAACATCTGTGATTGAAATCATGCCTTCAAATGGGAAAGGTTTGGAGGGTCCATGGAAGGTCTGACAAATCTTAGAGTGCTCAAGGATTCTTAGGGATTGACATACACCCCAGAAGAGGCAAACGTTCCCCTGTTTGGTTGCCAAAACGCTTCACAAACGCTGCTTACAGTGTGTACATCACCCGCGCATGTCACAAAAACTTCACTTCAAGCCTCTGAATATACCTCCCATGAACTAGCCGTGCCCGAAAAAGAAATGGTCTTCTATGTTGTCGTTGTGCCTTTTGAAACCCAAAAAGTTGCGCCAGGTGTGCCACCAAGCACACAGGAATTTTTCACCACCAGGCCTACCTGGTTTGAGTTTCCCTGCTGCGAATGCAATTCCAGTTTTTTTTCAAAACCCATCCCACAAAATCGCTGTGACTCTGTCGAATGGGGCCGCGGTGACCGGTGAGGCATGCCTGGGCCACTGTGTGTTGTGGCTACATTGGGTTTTGCCATGATAATTATGAGAGTGTCTCATTGCTTGTTGTCTGCTGTGCTGTTCATTCTAGTGTTGTCAAGAACTGCCTGCGTTGTCAAGAACTGGGTGTTGCCTTTGTGTCTTTGCGCCTGTGTGACCGGGAAGCCAATGATCGCCACCGGTGACCACCGCACGGGCCCTGCGGCTGGAAAAGCCTAGCCGCAACCGCTTAGGAGGTGCTGATGTTTGGCCGCGAAATTTGGGCCGCAAACGTTCGACTGTCGCAAACTTTTTAAGACGTGGAACTTTTGAGTATTTCATGGTATTTCTTTGGAATCGTGAAATCCTTTGATCCTTTGATGTTTGGACCTCCGGCCTTTGTGACTTATTCAGGCAGCTTAAGGGCAAAGTGTGGCATTCCGACCGTGCGTACTTTATCCTTCTTGAATGTGTGTGTCTCATTGCATCTCATTGCTCATTGCTTGCAGTCTGTTGTAGTGTTTGTCCTTGTGTATTGTTGCGCATATGTGCCGTTGTGGTTGCATGGTTGTGTGTGTGTGTGTGTTTGCTTGTTGTCTGTGCCATTGTTTGTCGTCTGTTGTCGTGTTTGTCATTATAGGGCACTGAGTGATGCTCCCCAGCAGCAAAGGTAACGACAGGGTTTTTTTTAACGTGTGTTGTTGTCAGTACCTGTCCGATTGTTTGGTGCTTGTTGTTGTCTTTATCGGGCATTGTCAAAACCCCGCATCCAAAAATCAATCCTGCACACCCGGCACGACAAAACGCGGCTGAGTGACCGACGCATCCCGAACAACATTGACTATATTGGACCACCACGTGCAGTCTCAGTTGTCTGCATGATTTCGTCCAAGACTACCCCACGAAGGTTCGTGTCTGAAGAATAAAACAACCAAACAGTTCTGGATTGGCTTGCTCCACGGCTCATGGGCTGCGTGCACTGGTTCGGGCCACTGGTGGGACCACTGGTTCGGGCCACTGGGATGTCTAGTGCTTATGTTTGGTGTGGTATGGTGTAGTCATTCCGTGTTGTCTGTGACATGGCATCTTCTCTCTCTCTCTCTCTTTTGTTGCGGCGTTGTTTGTGTGTATGTTTGGTGTTCTAATTTTGTGCACTGTCAGTCTGTATCATAGTTTGGCATCTGCCGTCTTGGGCCAGTCCTTGGACTGGCCCAGTACTGGCTGATGCTCTGCAAAACAGGTCACGATAGGGGGTGGGAGGGTCACTTTGGAACACACGTTTTAGTTCACTTTGGAACACAAAAGACGTGTCACTTTGGAACACAAAACAACCCAAAACCATGGAAGGGTTAATAAAAAGCGAGATCACTTTGGAACACAACACACCTGGTTTTTGGGTCACTTTAGAACACACACACAGACACGGATGGGGAGGGTTTAAAGATGAAGGATGGGG